GGTCACTCTCACCCGCCGTGGAATGCACTAAGGTCCCCTACTCGCTTTATTATAACATTGGTGCACGTGACTCGGCAGCTCCTCCTGGTATTTGCTCCTGCCATGGCAGTCTGAGACATGCCGGGACCCTGTAACCTTCAACTCGGTCGCTTTTCCAGCTTGGGGTCTCTGGATTCCCCCATCTACCACAGACACGTCCAGTAAGCCCGCCCCTCCCTCTCCACTGCCCATGCGCCCATAGAACTCGTATCTCGAACGTGGAGTCTCACTTCATAGGTACTGGGTGACCGCACGTCTCCTGGGAGCCCCGGGCTCTGAGTCTGCACTTGACGGCCTGGGACTCTCGTACCTGACCCTCCCTTAGTCTCTGGGACGCCAGAGATTATAGGCTTTGGATCTTTTCTACATCACTGATGGAAACTGTGCAACCCCCCCCCCTTCCAGATATCAAACCGCATGGCTGCCCTAGATTCTTCCAGTGGCCCAAAGTTGGAAGTGCGGCCTCTGCTCCTGTTCCCCGCATGCTAAAACTCTCCCACCCACTGCATGGCCTCCTGCTGCCTCCCACCTTGGCTAACCCTGTCTGGGGACAGGAATCCTCCCTCGGTCTGGGAACACTCTGTTCCGCTAGGCATCTTATGTTCCTGTTCCAGAAGTCTCTCTCTCCTGTCTGTCCCATTTCTGCCACTGCCCACCATCCAGCCCAGGACGGCAAGCTCCTCCTCCTCACCCTGCTTCTCCTCCGAGCAGATGCCAGGGGCTCACAGGGGTCTGACCCTGAGACTAGCAGCATCTGCTCGGAAACACTTTTGTTGTCTGCTTCATCTGTACGAAACACGTGTGTACGTATGCTGTGCGTGGTGCGGCCACACCTGTGTGATTCGGGATGCCTGAGTACTTTAATGTGTGTCTTGTGAAGCGCAGTTTTAAGCCCATTAGACACCCTACAGCACTGCACAGGCACCATCTTGCTAAGGTCAAACACTTAACTTGCTTCTGGCAGCTGCCATCTTGAATTAGGTCGGGCATGCGGCCAACTGCAGGTCTGCCCACCCACGGGGTTCCTGCCTCTTCTGCACCAGCAGCCTAGGCAGGGGTCAGGGGTCAGCCCAGCCAGCCTCTGCCAACAAACCCTGCTGCCAGCCAAAATTCATTCATTTTTTTTTTGTCTTTTATTTTTCTCTCTAATTTCTTCTTCCACTGGCTCTGCTGCCCATGGCTTCTTTGCCTAATGGAGAGCCTTTCCCGGGCCCGGCGGGGCACACATTTCATGAAGGAGAAAAACCCTGTCTGCCTTCTTGTCCCTCAGAGTTCTAGATCTGCGCTGTCTCTTTAAATGTCCTGTCTGTCTGCCGCAACGCTCGAATCAGAGACCACACTCTGGCTCTTCCTTCTTACTTTTACCCAGGGCTGTCTGATGTCTCTATGTGTCTGTGTACATGCAGCTACTGTTTAAGAAGTGTGCCGGGCGGTGGAGGCCCACGCCCTTAGTCACAGCACTCGGGAGGCAGAGGCAGGCAGATCTCTGTGAGTTCGAGGCCAGCCTGGTCTACAGAGCTCGTTCTAGGACAGCCTCCAAAGCCACAGAGAAACCCTGTCTCGAAAAAACAGAAGAAAAAAAAAGAAAGAAAGAAATATAAGCCAGCTTTAACTATGTATGTGTATCTCCTTCTAGGAAGCAATAAGTCTCAAATATTTCTAAATTGTTATGTATTCTTATATGATGACAAAATTTTTACTTTAAATTGATAAAAATTTAAGCTTATAAAGATCTACTTCAAATTAACACCACCCAGTTCTTCCTGTAAACTGTTTACAAGAGTGACCTACCAAAGGAAAATGAAATCTGTTATAAACTAAACTTAGAGATTATTTCCTCCCATACTGTGTAACCTTCACTACTGTCAGTTTTTAAGGTTAAGCTTCTATTACAAAAGGGGATTTTTCTTCATTTCTTTGTCCTTCACAGGCATCAATCTAACCTGCTAAGTCTGGAGGGTTCTGAGGAAAACGTCCCTCCACAGCCTCTTAGCTTGGGTCCAGTTCTCCAGACAGATCCTGCACTAATGTCACTGTAGTCATGCTAAGACAGATCAATTACAGGGAAAAGCCTTACCTAGCCACCTAAGTGCTTAAGGCTGAGAGATACTAAACAGGCAGCCCTCAAATGTTCAGAAATTGAGAGAATATGACATTTAAAATGTTTTATTAAAAAGCCTTTCCTAACAGAGAGACGGGCCAGCTGCTGGCACTGCCCATTCCCTCCAAGAAGACAGCTGGACACTTCTTGGACACGCTAACCACTGAGCAACCCTGCCTTTCACCTCAACTGCTGCAAAGGACTCTTCAGACTGTGGACACGAGGACACTGGCATGGACCTCCAGGCTGCCTAAGGCCAACGGTAGGCGAGTCTTCCTAACCCACAGGATCTCCCAGGGCCTTGTGGGCCCAGTGCTAACAGCAGAGGGTGGGTGTCCCTGAAGCCTCTGCCCTTGAAAACTGTGGAGGACTCTGGGAGTGGTGGCCAGCTAATAAGTCTCTGTCATTCTCTAATCATTAATCCAGGAAAAAAGTCATCCTTCTCGAGAACTCTGATGCAGCTTAATGACTGGCAGATTTCAATATAACTTATTACCATTCCTTTGTTTAAAAACAAGCTTCAAGGAGCCGGGCGACAGTGGCGCACGCCTTTAATCCCAGCACTCGGGAGGCAGAGGCAGACGGATCTCTGTGAGTTCGAGGCTGGGCTGGACCGACAGCCTCCAAAACAATACAGAGAAACCCTGTCTCGAAAAAAAAAAAAAAAAACATGCTTCAAGGTATAAAGTTTACGTATGAACGTAAAAGCTTAAGATGCAAGGATCTAAAAGTGTCTTAAGGTATAACAAAGTGTACAAATACAAGTTATCAGATCTCTTTCTCATTATGCTACTGTTAGTATTCTTAACATTAACCAATGAAGTTCTGATAAGCTATTAATCCAACTCTGACAGAGTACAAATGTTAATGCTTTCGGCCAAAATCATTTCTGACATGAATACACTGACATTTCTACAATGCAAATCTCAACACAGATTACCAACAGTAAAAATGCTAATGTGTCTGAAAATGTATCTTTTCACACAGAATTCGTGTGAGTTCCTCCGCTCTGCCAACATCTCGCCAGATCTAAGAGGCTCCAGAGAGTTCCATACAGCCTGGACTGCGATGGAACAACCAGCTACCCCAGGACGTGGCAGCACCCCAGCGTGCTCAGGTCCCCCCAGTGATGGGTGACGACGCCCTTAGTCCCTAACCTGCCACACCTAACTCCATTTTTAATTAAAAAAAAAAAAAAAGAAGCAAGAAATGCTGTAGTCCAGGCAGACCGAGCCCCGCCTGTCACCCAATGTGCATGGCAGGTTATGGACCTTGGCTCTTTAAGAGAAACACACCGACCCATTTGGCTCCTTCCCACGTTCCCCTGGGGCAGACAGGACTTTTCCTGCCTGTCTCCCTCTTCTCTTCTCCTCTCTTCTCTTCTTCTCTTCTCTCTTCTCTCCTCCTCTCTGTCTCTTTACCTCTCTTCTCTCTCCTTCCCTTTTCTAATAAAATTCACTAAGTTCTGTCCTCCACCTCGGTCACCCCCGCCAAGGTTCCCCACATACTTTATTATAACAACAGAAAGATACACAATGGCCCAGGAGAGAATCTTCACCATGCTCAGGAGAGACAGAGGGCCAAGGACCCCAGCACACTGTACACCCTAACAAATTAACAGTCAAAAGATCCATCAGACTACATAACGACACACAGCCTTACTTTCACGACTTCCAGGAAGGGTTCCTTTACGTTGTCTGAGCTGACTCTGAGCCTCCTGCCTCAGTCTCCCAGATCTCTGGAATGGCACAGTACTATTTTGGATTTGAACAAGTGATTTTTTTTTTCACGGTCTCATGTTGCAAAGACTGGCTTGTAACTCATAAGCCTCCTGTCTCAGCCTGGGATTAAGGTATGTCTTACCACACCCAGCTAGAAGTGGGAATTTTCATTCACTGACATTCAGAATAGACCAGCTACAGCTATAGACTTTGGCATGGACCACATAGCAACCATTGCTGCTTGACAAAGTTCCAGCATTTTGACACTGCAGACCATGCTTCTCCAGTACCTTTTTATTTCATTTTTAATGATTCTCACTGTTAATGCCTTTCTTTCCCTTGGGGAAATTTTGTGCCAGCTTTGGTAAAGGATGGAAATGTGTACAATGGTATCTCCTCTCTAAACAAAATAACTCTTTGAAAGTAAAAATCTCCAACACTGGAACCAGGAATCTCTCTGTGCCCTCCTAATTACATCAAAAACCAGGAATGTTAGAGATTCACTGGACACAACTGACCCCAAGGATGAAGAGCCTACAGCCCAGACCCAGAGCCTGAGGCCGTCAGGGGCAACGGTTCAGCTACTAAGTGCAGACATCAGAATGCAGGTAGAATGGGAAAGCAGTGAGGTACCAGAACCTTCCCTCTGGGGAGGGACGAGGGGAACAGGCCCATACAGTAAGACTAAGACACAAAAGGATGCAATTAGGGAACAGCTCCGTGCTTAGCCCCTTGAGGTATGAAAATTGCTCTTAAATTATAGTGTAGCGGTCAGTTCCTTGGTCCTTCTCCCAAGGTCAAGCATTTGGATAAAGGCCTCCATTCCCTTGAGGGCTTGGGGAAAGTTCCTGAAACCAGTCGTTCCCTTCATCTCTGGCAAGAGAATTTGTGTCCCTTGGTTAGCACAGGAATGTGCCCACCGTCAAGGCCAGGGTCAGAGTCTCAGCCCCTGATCACAAGCCGCACCCAGCTTACTTGCCCCCTTCCTCCCAAAGGTAGGCAATAAACGCTGTTGGCAGCCGTCCTAAATCACCCTCGGGTCAGGCCCCCCCGCCATGAAGCAGTCTTCAGAAAGACTTCTTGGAAAATGATAGGCCTTGATATTAAAGATTAAAAAAAAATATATATATATATATATATTGCAGTTGGTGTGTTTATTACCCCATATTCTAAAGCCATTCATGGCCAGCATTGTGCTTAGGGGCTTTTTTTTTCTTCCTTTCTTTTTAAAGCAATAAGTGAAAGCATTTCTTTAAAAGGCACCTGTTCCTTAAACAGGTAGGAAAATTCCTACTTGTTTCCTCCCTTCTTGGGGAGCAGCCCCGTACTGGCACCCTAGAAGCATTCAGCAAAGCAACCCTTGGCCTCCCCTGTCCCTTTCCCTTTTTCAAAGCAGCTGGGATGATGGTGGTATCCCACAGCTCATTTGATCTTCAGGTCCTTCAAGGCTGACTCCAATCTCTTCACATCCCAGATGCTCATGCCACCATCCATGCCTGTAGTGCAGAACTGCGAGCACTTGGCTGCACCACCCTCAGAGCTGGCCTTTTTGTCGAGGTTCTGGAAGCGTTCTCGGGCTGTCAGGCCACGCTGGGAGCTCTGCTTGGGCACATCCAGCCGACCACCAAAGCTCATTGTCATAGGTAAATAGCACAGGGAAGCAGTCGTGGCCCGCTGCCACTAGACTGTTTTCTGTGATGAAGGTGATGGCCAGGAGCGGCAAGGTTTCAGAGGCCAGGGTTGCATCCGTCAGCTTCTTGTCAGCGTCTGCCAGGCACACGGTGCTGTCATGGCTTACCCACGCCACACGGCTCCCGCTGGCTGAAAAGCAGACACCATGCACCCAGCCACAGCTGCTGCTTGACTCGAACATCAGCTCCCCAAAAGGCATCTTAGAGCCCCACGGTGTAGGCACCGGCCGCTCCTCCACCTCCTTGATATAGGCAGAGAAGATGCTGCATTTGAAGTCACAGGAGCCCGCAGCTAGGAGCACGTTGTTGGGGTGCCAGTCCACGCTGAGGACCGTGGAGCGGATGGGCTTTTTGATGTGCTTGCACACCCACCAATCATTCTCCTGCTCAAAATAACAGATGGAGATGACACGGGAGCCGCTGCCCACGGCCAACTTGTTCTCATTGGGGGCCCAGCGCACACAGCGCACAGCTTGGTTGATCCGCAGGATGACCAGAGTGGGCTTCCACGTGCGGCCCTTCAGCGTCCACACATAGGCATTGCGGTCTGTGCCGCAGGTCACAATGCGGTGTCTCTCAGGGGCCCAGTCGATGCCTGTCACCTGCCCATTGTGCTCCTTCAGCTCGTGAACCTTGCTCCACTTGGCACCACTCTTCTCAGAGATGTGCACCTCATGGTTGTTGGGGCAGATGGCGGGCGATCTGTGTTCGGTCCTTATTCCAGGCATGGCAGCTGATGGGCTCCACCAGGAAGCTGTGGTAGGCCATAGTCCCTTGTCTTCTCGGGGCGCCCCGGCCGCAGACTCTGGACAGACGATGCGCCGAACTGGCTCTAAAGTTTATATAATTTTGACTCGTGCACAAGGGTGCATCGTGTATAGAAGGGAGCTCAAGACAGACAATATCCGTATCACTGCTCTGTAACCCTGAGAATTTCATGACTAAGGGAAAAGATTCCATGCGTCTTTGTGGGTCAGCGGAATAAAGACTGTAATCTATGAAGACTTTTCTATATGCCACTCAGTTTATAAGCGGGGTGGAAGGGCATGGCCCCAGGCTGGCCCAACAGAACAGCATTTATGTAAACGTGTCTGCTGTGTGGTTTACTTGGCAACAGAGCGTGTGTCATTTTTACAATCAGAAAACTCCGGTGCAATTAGAAACTTTGGAGGGGACAGTGACAGCGGAGGACAGGAAATAAGTAAAGCCCTACAGGTTGTTTGCTATTCAGAATACTTCTTAAGTAGCACAAGGAAAATGCTTAGTATTTAAATACATCTTTGAAACACTGGAAGGGACCCAACCACCCTCCTTTGGTCTCCTGACCTAAGCTCTCTGGTATGCAAGGTTTAGCTTCACTGAACAAACCGCTCACATCCAGAAAAGCCACTCCAACAGGCTTCCCAGCCTGCCCAAGACTACTATGCCAAGAAAACAGTAGGTGTTTAATAAGTGCTGGTGGGATGGTTGTGGGAGAATGAATGTGTAGCAACCTAATAATTAACTAGCAAATTTCAAAAGGCGGACGTCTCTTAACCAGGCAACTTCCAGTGGGAAAACGTATTCAGCTGAGTCACGCGCACATATTTACAGATACATAGAGCATGATCAGGAATGCTCTCCCCCCTTCTCTCCTGCACCCCTCCCCAGTGTTGGTTAACAGGCTGAAAAGCTAAAAACGACCCTGACAATCACCAACAGAGAGCAAGACGAGACCTCGGTGTCTTAGTTTTTCCACAGAAGGAAGGGTCGAAAAGAAATGTAACTTCTTGTTCTTTCAAATCCCACAGACCGCACACTGAAGGATATTAGCTCGTACTGTTAAGAGAAGGACACCAAGATACAGAATATTTGCAGTTTGAAGAATACAAGGGGAGCCGGGCGGTGGTATCCTGGCATTTGGGAGGCAGGTCTCTGTGAGTTGGGGCCAGCCTGGTCTACAGAGCTTACTCAGAGAACCCTGGGGAGGGGAGGGAATATGTTCTCCTCGTCAGTGCTTGCTTCAGAGAGTGGTAGACAGGGAAGAGCACTGAAACTCACTTTTCCCTTCATGGTCTTCTAGGCTGTTCATCTTTTTTTAAAGCAAAGGCACCATCCAGACCTAGTGGGCTGTCACCCCAGTTACTCTGGAGGCAGAGACAGGAGGATAGCCAGCTCAAGTCTGGTTGAGAAGCTTGAACAATTCTGAAATTCCCTCACAAGATTGAAAACAAAGAGGTCTGGGGGGTACAGATTCAGTGGTACACACCGCTCGGCTCGTCCCTGTACTATAGCTGCACAAAGTTCTGGGTGTGATCCCAGGACAGCAGCGGTAGAACACACCTGTGATCCTGGCTCTTGGGAGGGGAAGGAAGTTAGTTCAAGGTCATCCTTGGCTACACAGAGAGTCTGAAGGCAGCCTGGGCTAAAGGCTCTATCGAGACAGAAAGAGAGAGGGAGGGAGGGAGGGAGAAGGAGAGGGGGGTAGGGGAGGGGCACCATTCATGAAGAAAACTGCAGTCTGGTTTTTATAGCCATTTTCTAGAAACCAGAAGAAAATCTACCTAGACAAAAAGACTTCGGTGCCATTAAAAGCTATTTCAAAGCACAATCAAAGGTGGCTGGAAGGAAAGAGGGCAATTCTAACTCGGTATTGCCCTGTAAGCTTTCAGCTCAGTTCTAACTCGGTATTGCCCTGAAAGCTTTCAGCTGAGGTCCTGGGTCACGGGTGAGGCCGAGTGGGAGGGGGAGCCCAGAGAGCACTCAGATCCCACCCCCAGCACAGCACCCTCCCTCCATCTGCTTCCACACAGATCACAGGCCCTGGCTGCTTCGCACAAGCACTCCCCCCCCCCCACCTGGAAGGCAGAGCACCCACCTTGGGGTCCAGGCCCCTGAGTCCCATTCTGCCAGGCTTCATACGCCCGTGAAAAGCTTCAGGCGGGGCTTCAGTGAGACAGTATGGCCCTGTAACTTTGGTGAGACAGTCTTATGGCCCTGTAACTTTGGTGAGACAGTCCTACGGCCCTGTAACTTCAGTGAGACAGTCTTATGGTCCTGTAACTTCAGTGAGACAGTCCTACGGCCCTGTAACTTCAGTGAGACAGTCCTATGGCCTCGTAACTTCAGTGAGACAGTCTTATGGTCCTGTAACTTCAGTGAGACAGTCCTACGGCCCTGTAACTTTGATGAGACAGTCCTATGGTCCTGTAACTTTGGTAAGACAGTCCTACAGCCCTGTAATTTCGGTGAAACAGTCCTATGGCCCTGTAACTTCAGTGAGACACTCTTATGGTCCTGTAACTTCAGTGAGACAGTCCTATGGTCTTGTAACTTTGGTGAGACAGTCCTATGGCCTCGTAACTTCAGTGAGACACTCTTATGGTCCTGTAACTTCAGTGAGACAGTCCTATGGTCTTGTAACTTTGGTGAGACAGTCCTATGGTCCTGTAACTTTGGTAAGACAGTCCCACGGCCCTGTAACTTTGGTGAGACAGTCCTATGATCCTGTAACTTTGGTGAGACAGTCTTATGGTCCTGTAACTTCAGTGAGACAGTCCTATGGCCCTGTAACTTCAGTGAGACAGTCCTATGGCCCTGTAACTTTGGTGAAACAGTCCTATGGTCCTGTAACTTCAGTGAGACAGTCCTATGGCCCTGTAACTTCAGTGAGACAGTCCTATGGCCCTGTAACTTCAGTGAGACAGTCCTATGGCCCTGTAACTTTGGTGAGACAGTCCTATGGTCCTGTAACTTTGGTGAGACAGTCTTATGGTCCTGTAACTTCAGTGAGACAGTCCTATGGTCCTGTAACTTCAGTGAGACAGTCTTATGGTCCTGTAACTTCAGTGAGACAGTCTTATGGTCCTGTAACTTCAGTGAGACAGTCCTACGGCCCCGTAACTTCCCTGAGTGAATCGTGGTGACACAGAGCCAGGGATGGAGCTGAGTGGGCGAGGTGCTTACCTAGCATCCACTGACACTCACTCCCCTATAATGCCAGCACTCAGGAAGCAGAGGTGGACTATGGGAGGCTCAAGACCACCCTCTGCTACATGGGAAGATCAAAGCCAGTTTGGGCGGCCTGAAACTCTGTCATATAGATATGGGCTGGATATGGCTCAGCAGTTACGAGCACAGGCTGCTCTGACCAAAGACTCGGGTTCAGTTCTCACGACCATCTGTAACTCAAGTTCCAGAGGATCCAATGTCCTCTCTTGGCCTCTGTAGGCAGCAGACAGACATGTGACACACTCATACACATAAAACAAAAACAAATCTGTGCGTGCGTGCGTGCGTGCGAGTGTGCGTGCGAGTGTGTGTGTGTGTGTGTGTGTGTGTGTGTGTGTGTGTGTGTGTGTGTGTGAGAGACCTTACTCTATGCTACTTTGACCACGCCATACTCTACATGGGTTTTCCCTCTGTGGAACTTCTGTCCCAGATCCTTACATAGCCAGTTCTACGACCAATATGCTGGGACAAATGTTACTTCTTGTTAAGGTGGTTTATGCCCACCCTAGTTCCTCCTGGCTGAGGTTTACCCAGCACAAACCCCATGAGAACATGGACCTGACCTGTCTTGTTCAAGACTATATAGTAGATGCTTAATAAACTTAATAGATGTTCAATTAAAAGGGAAAAAAGACCCCTGCCCACTTATTCTGTCTCTGTCTGTCTGTCTGTCTGTCTGTCTGTCTGTCTGTCTGTCTCTCTCTCTCTCTCTCTCTCTCTCTCTCTCTCTCTCTCTCTCTCCTGCTGTTCCCCTGGGGCAGACAGGACTTCTCCTGTCTCCCTCTTCTCTCCTGTCCTCTCCTCTGTCTCTTTACCTCTCTTCTCTTCCCCCACCCCATTCCCTTCCTTAATAAAACTTCTCACTAAGCTCTGTCCCCCGGCATGTTTGTCCCCTGCCTTGGTCACCCTCACCTGCCATGGAATCTGCCAAGGATTCCCCTCTTGCATTATCCTAACACTTAATCCATGCTCTCTGTACACAGTGACCCCGAGCAGTCGTCACCCGAGAGGTCAAGGAAACTGAGGTTCTCAGAGGCTAAACTCAGAAAAAAGGACAGGGCAAAGTTCCACAAAAATCATCTTTATAACTTGGGGTGGCAGCTCAGAGCCACCCTCCCTGGTCACTAACCCCAGGGATGAATACAACAGGCAAATCAAAAAGCGACAGACTCTGGACTTGGTTGTCACCTACTTAACCTGAGGCAGCTTAAAGCGAGGGCGTGGAAAGCCGGTGTGTCGGCACACACCTACAATCCCAGCACTTGGGTCACTGAGAGAGGAGGAGGATACTGGCCGTAAAGAAAGACCCTGTCTCAGAGGGATGAGGGCTGTGGAGCCCACCACACGGGGCTGGTGCACCCTCAGCACCCCTGTAAACGCTGTGTGTGATGCTCACATTCGCAGTACCAGGCAGATGCAAAGGAGCAGGAGCCCTCCGGCCAGTCAGTTTCACTAAACAGGTAAACCCCAGGTTCAACGAGAACCCATCTCAAAATAACACGGACATCCGCCTCTGGCCTCCACACACCAACATAAAACGGATGAGCGGCCCGGCACGGTTAAAGCACCCTTTGATCTGAGCACTCAAGAGGCAGGGGCTCTGAGTTTGAGGCCACGAGAGAGCTCCACAGTGAGACCTCCTCACAAAAGGGGGGAAGGGTGTGAGAAGGGGTGGGGCCTCACAGATACTCTCTATGTAAAAACACATTTCACTGGTGACACCAAAACGTCCCCTCCACGCCAACAGGAAGAGTGGGATGGGGGAAATCAGCTCTCGGTGAAGGAAGGAAACCGCCCAGGTGCTCCAAGTTCATTCTCCGGCTAATGGAGTTTAACCTCTTTCACCTCTGGTTACATTCCACACCAAATCGCCCAATGAGCTGCACATCCTAAAAGCCCAGGACTCCAGGTGAGGGTAGACTTCTAGCCTCAAGCTGGCCCTCCATCTTCCTCTACATCAGTGACTGCGGGTTAACCCCCCAGTGG